CCTCCTAGGCCTACACTACCCCGGTTCTAACAAAAGCTTGTACCGAACCGCGAGAACTGTCGTCCAATGCTCCAAAAGCTCCACGTTCAGTAGCCAGTGTGGGATCTGGAATGGGCGAGTGACATGTTTTTGGAGTGAACAGACACAGCAGACGCGGTCGTTACAAACCAAAACAACAACCATTTATTTAGGTACTTTTTGATTTATGATATCACCAGCCGAATTATTATACAACAATGTTAATTAGCACACTAAGACATCCTTACACAATATTACACAACACTCAACAACATGACAAACAAGGCAGTGTAGCTAACGCCTGACTCACCACATGGGCCCACCGCAGGCGGCCCGCAGTGCCGCCCATGGCAGACCCACCGCTGAAGGCAACCGTCCGCACTACCGCCCCACGCCACAAGAGACTCGCTCAACTATCTCCGCCGCCACCAAGGCCTGCCTGCCGCCAGGGGTCACCGCCGGCGCTAATGTTTTCTTAACCATGATGATGATGACAGTGATGGTCAACCCTCGCGAACACAATGCCACCTATCACTCGATAGTTGCGACCCCTGAATGCGGCTCTTACTCGAGACACGTGCACCACGAGGTGCAAATAACTTTACAGGAAGTGTCAGCACCCCCATAAGGCACATGCAAGAAGGCGCAAGTACGGCCAAGGCATTCCCTGACACGTCAAATGGAAATGGCAGACTGGTATCGGTGCTCCACGCATCAGCGGTTGGCAGTGCGTCGACTACATAGTGCACCCCAACGTTACTAGATAGCTAACGTTGGTGCACCCCACCACCTACGGTACGCGTCGTGATAAAAATACTATACAGTTAAACCTGGGTATAACGAAATTGATAAAATCCCGGAAAAATTCGTTACAAGGAGGATTTTGTTATATGCAAGTTCAGTACGAAAATTTGGAAAATAAATGCGCAAATGAAACAAAAGGAGGACTGAAGGCAAAGCTAACGCAAAACACTTATTTTGCACAAAAAAAAAAAAACTGCGTTATTTAATTGTGATAGCAATTATATGGGCACTCTCAGCGGGTTTTTGCCATCGCCGCCATGTTCCTTAACAAGTCCAGATTGATAACGTGCCCCCGCGCATCGTAACTTTCTTTCACGAGCGGGTAAAAGCGCAAGAATGCTCGCAGAGAACAAATGAGTCGGCCCATCCCTATCGTCAGGAAAGTGGATAAGGTAACATCTTCCGTGTGCTAAAACTGCCGTCGGATGCTCAAAGTAAACCACCCGCCTTGAACAAGCGTGAAACAACGCGGGGAGGGGGGGGGGGGGGGGAATCGCTCGAGTAGCCATAATGAACTTGGATTTTAAGGGTGGTCGCGATCGCTGGCGCCCTTGCTATCTCGGCGAGTATCAGTGCGGTTTCTACGCGAAGGGATGTTGTGAAAAGAGCACTTCACCCTGGAGCGGCCTTATTTTCTTCCGAAAGAGTTGGCTGCTAGCCTTACTTTTTATTATATATATATATATATATATATATATGCTATCGCGTTCATTGCATTGCATTCAATGCGCCGTCGTGTTGCTAGATCTAACCGACTAATAGCGAAAGCTACCAGCCTGTGAACTCGCGGGGAAAGACAGAAGCGCGTGACGAGTCGACTTCTGAAGATCCATCGTCACCGTGGTCTCGGCGAGTTTCCATCAGTGCCTAATCTGGCAACCCGTCCATCGGTGATAACGACACGGTTTTCCGAAATTAAGTAAAATCATAGTTTCGCCACAAGGGCGAAGCAATGACAACGTGAAATGTAACGCTGAGAACGGCAAGCAGATCGAAGCATGCAGTGAGCTGCTCAAGCAAAAAACAAAAAACGACGCATGAAACGTAATCACAGGTGCAAATATAAGTGCAAACTAACAAATACCCCAGTCGTTTCTTCGCTGTGTTTGAAAAGCGCACTCTTTTTGCAAACGCGCCTGTCTATCGAGCAAAGTAAGCTTTGTGCGCCTTGCCTCTAAACGCAATCGTTCCGGCCAAGGTCGAAGGCGCACGATTGTCCCCGCTGAAAGATAAGCGCAGCACACAAGCATCAAACCCCCCCCCCCCCCCCCCCTTGGGCAAAATACCTACACGTGGGTGATAAGCGCGCGCCGGCGCAACGTGACAAGCTGGCGGGCGGCTTTTTTTTTGTTTTCATATATATAGATACTTATACATATACAGTGAATGACGGCTGCGGCGCCGGTAAAAAACCAGCCGAGACTGCCCATATAATTGCTATATCGTAAAAAAAAAAAAGCAAAGGTGAACGTCGTCGGGGGCCACACCATGCGCGTGCAGTGAAAATATACACGCACGCACGGCAACGAAAATGAAGAGCGAACGACACGGACACAGACATGGATGCCGCGGAAAACTATTCGGTTAATTTTACTATTTTTTATTTTGGTTTAGAACGTGAGGGGCGAAGGGGAAGGCTCGCGCGCGTGCGCCCGAGGCGACGAGTGTGGCGGCAATGCTGGCTGGTGGTGGGCAGTCCCGCCTGCCCGCATCGCAATAACGAGCGCTTGCTCTCTTCTGGTGCGCTGTGGGCGCCGTTCGTCGGCGACGGGGCAGCCGTGGAAGATGCATGCTTTTACCAAAATGACAAAATGCGGAGCGAAATTTCTAGATTGTCCGTTGAGAAAATTCGTTATACCGAGGTTGTCTCCTGCTGTTACTTTGTTACATAGAGTTCGCAAATACATGTGTTTTTATGGAGCAACGGCGGGGAATAGATAAACTTCGTTACATAGAGGAATTCGTTATATGAAGGTTCGTTGTAAGCAGGTTTAACTGAATGCCACGTTCCAGCAAATGTCGGCCTGTGTCCGCGTGCCAGCAGCATGGATGCTACGCAACGCACAATTTGGCGTCAGGTCATCGCTGCAAGTCCTGCCTGCGTCGTGGACTTGTGTCACTCGCTTTTACGGATGACCACCATTGCTTCCAGCAGTCTCCATCCCTTTCAACCTTCGTCCACTCTGCTGCTCCCAGCGCTGCCCACCGGAACTGTTAGAGACGCAACGTTTTTCACGATGACAACTCAGACTTCGCCAGGGACAATCCATGGACTGCTGCTCATGTACATACTATCTGTCTCTTTTGCTTTTCCTTTTGTACACATGCTTCAAATCGCAAAAACTGCTAGAGGTGTAGCCGGTGTAGCGTCGCATCAATCTCGGCCAGCTGCTGCGCTAAAGAAGAAGTGAGCCACGTGGCACGTGATGTGCGAGCCACATGCAGGGGAGAACGGCCTAGCTCCTGGCCTGGCTGGTTGCTGCAGCTGCGACCTCATCTACGCCGGCGTCTCAAATAAAAGCTGCGACCACGGCACAGTCTCATCACCGCTTTCTCGTTTCTTAACATCCTTTTTGCGCCTGTTGTGCAGCAAGTCTGCTGAACAGCTGATCACGGACGATAAAATTGGTGGAAGCGCTGAAGTTGCATCTGCTCGCCATTGCTTGTAAAGCAGCAATATAGTCACTAACTGATTCCCCCGGTACCTGCTTGCGCATTTTCGAGTAGTGACGCTCTAAAACTTCATTGCCTAGAGCCTTGCAATGGTTTTCTAGTGCTGTGATGGAGTCATCCTGCGTGCCTTTGTCCAGAGTTCAGTTTCCACTTTCTGCCTGGTCCTGTGCATTTCTTAGTGTCCAGTATACCTCCAGGCCTTCAACTTCTAGTGCGTTCTTGAGAGTGGGCCAGGCAGTGTCTCCGAAATCAACGTCGACGTACATTTGAAAGACACATTGCCAATTAGCCCAAGGCACAGGAAGAGTGCCCGCAGTTTGTAAAAACAGCAGAGGAGCAACAGCAGATGTCATGCTGGAATGATGAGGCACCGTGAAGTTGCATTCGCTAGTATGCGTTAACGAGTCACTGGTGCCAGCAAGCATAGACCAAACGTGCAGGTCATGGCCACAGTAATGCGGTGGCATTTCATGCAGCGTGCAAGTAGGTTAAAGCAGGGCCCTGTAATGCTCCCAAAAAGGTGGAAATCCGCATAGAAAATCGGCTGAGAATGCTGATGAAGTACATAAGATGCTTACTTCTGCTTCATCTCGTCGCTAGTTTGCTGTATCATTGCTGAATGCACCGTCTCGCAGAGACAATGGCCTGTAAGGAGCGTTAAGAAAGGTCGAGAACTGGGAGTGGACTGTTTATTCAGCGTGTAACAATGGTTACAGAATATTGCCGTTGCGTAGGCGCTATGTGACACTTCACGCGAAACCGAAACTGATCGGAAGTCCATTACTTCGAGATCAGTAATTTGAGTTTAGGACATGAGATTCCCAACATCGGACTTACATCTTGTTGATTGCTGCAGCCACTGGGCATCCTTTCCTAAGTCGCTTCGAGGTCATTGCTGTGCTCTAGCTATAGTTTCTAGGCTATTGGCTATTTTGTTAAACTTGAGTATCGTTTTGTGCACCTTTGTGAGAGATTTGCCTTATTTTTTTATCACTTTTTTCCATCTCTTTTCCTTTGATGGAGCAGAGCTTCTTTAAATGCTCGCACCTGCTGCATTAGTTCCAGTGGCACATACCCACGTAATGAAGCACAACTATGTACAGCTGAGTCAGCTTCGCTCTAGACTATGATAGCTTAGAAGAGCTTCACTGTAAAAAACATGACAGTTCATGTTAGTTATATTCTTTTGTACATTGATATTGTGTGCACATTACTAATTACAATAGTCTTTTCGTGGGTTCATGGACTTGTGCAAGTTATCATCACATGGATGAAACGAATGTGCCTTGGCAAACATTCGTGGCTGTAATGGGGCTACTTCACATTTGTTAACACTGACAATATTTCTCTCAGTTGGTTCTTCTGCATATCTTGATTGTTCGGAGGACAAGGGGGGAGGCATTGATTTTTGCATTGAGAATTTTGCATTGATAGCTAGTGGTTGATTACGCCAATTTCCTATTAATGCTGGGTTAAGTTTTACCTGTTGCTTGTTCAATGCCCAGACTCGGGTCTTGAGGAGCCTTCCAACCGGAAGCTGAAAGAGCTGATTCATCTGGCTGAACTGTGTGTGGACCTGCTTCAGCAGAACAACGAGCACTACTCCGAGGTGAGCACTGATTTATTGCACAATGTTGCTCTTGGGTTGAACTTGGGGCACGATGATGATCACAATGTTTGCTTCGCCGGTTCTTTTGCAACCATGCCTGTCTACTGTGACTTGAATCTGATAAATGTCATGAATTTGTTTGAGAAGATTTATCGGGGAACGTCTATGAGAACTTGTGGTGGCTGTTGCCAGTGCAACACTAAGGAATTTTTCATTAGCCCAGTTCATAGCAACCACATTCAAGATTAAGTGCTTATCCCAATTGTGGCCTCCAAGCTATTTTTCAAAAGTCCTAGTAACCAGTGAATAATTTATGTTTCAAATTATCATTATTTTAATAGAATTACAGTTGTAAAATAGATGATTTTGCTTGGTGCCCATAACACAGCCAGTGCTTGGTGTGGACACAGCGAAGCGAGAGTTTCTGTGGGAACTTAGTCCCTATACAAACATCAAACATTTTTGAACTGTTTGCATGGAATTCAGATTTGCGAAAATATAGGGTTCCAAGGCTTCTTTTTTTTTGAGCATTGATATAAATTTTCAGAAATTCTTTTTGTCAGCCTTCACAATCTTTAGAATCCCTTTGACATCGCGACAAGAATGGACGGCCACTTCTTTAGGGTGTCACACCATTGTCATAATCAAGGACGTCTGCACAGTGGCCAGTTATGATAAAGTATTGTAAGAAAAAAATAATTATTTGGCATTGTTACTAATGCAGCAAATCCACTGTAGTGGTGCAAGGACAGTCTTTCAGAGAACGGTAGTTTCCTAGCACACGAAAAAACATGGACAGACAAAGATGGGACCGGCGCTGTCTCCTCTTTATCTTTCCGTGTTTTTTTTTTATGCGCTAGAAAGCTACGGTATGACGTACCAACATGCCTAAAACGCTGCGTTACTTTCAGAAAAAATGGTTTTAAGCTTCTATTGTTTGTCAAGAATAATATCTGCGCATTTTCTACCACAGCAACATCTGGCACTTTGTGCATGTGCATGCATTAAGGTTGAATTCGCTAAGATCTGGCAGGGTTAGAACTTTTCTGTCAAGCTGTTTTATTCACTGGGTGTGAACTATGTAGAATCATGATTTTGACTGACTGTAATACGTGGCTTCAGTGCTACAAGTGATGTGCAGAAACGAAATGTCATCTTCTGTCATCACTCACTGTGTGGCTTGTGTGATGTGTGGGCACAGTCTGCCTGCGCAGTTATATCGCACTTTTAGTGGCTTACTTTGGTAATAGCAGCTGACTGACACTGGCTTTTGCAGCATGGCTTAGGGCAGCACACCTAGATCAGCACGTGCCTGCTCATATGGCTGAATATTTTCCCCTAATGCATTACCAGTGCCCGGCCTCTATAATAGCCTGCCTGTAGGTGCTCTATGATCCTGGACTCACATCACCCTAAAACAAACAGGAAGAATCATTCATGTGAATCTTGATTCCTGCAGAAGCACCTCAGTCGACTATGTTGTGCAATCATGATTTTACTCACATCATCAGCCACACCACTGTATGTGCGGGATGGACAAAATATGACTCGAACTCTTTGAAACACATGATAAATATGAATGCAGACATGAACGTGAATCAGTTACAAGCGTGCCATTCAATGTTATCTCAAGGCCTAGTAAAAACACTCTTTTGAAACATTTCGTCACTATGGAGGAAAGGATTTCTCATTACATCTGATGATTTCAAGCTAACGTTGATGCACTTCCAGCAGCATTTATCATGTGTGCATCCTTTTAATGTGTCTGTGATTGAGTCTGCATCAGAATGCTAGTGTAATTTGGTTGTAGTATTCGTGATTTTTGAGAAATTGACTGATTTCTCTGTAAAACGAATTTCTCTGTAAAACGAATTCTCTGTAAAAGAAGAAGCTGTTGGATCAATAGAGCACCACGTCCACTGACTGTGTTCGCCAACATAGCTAGGGTTGGTAACATCAGTTCAAATGAAACTACTGCATACTTCGTAGCCCATTCTACTAATGCCTGGCCCACAACCATGTGAATTTTTATGTTGAAGCTATACCGACTGAACAGTTGATAGCATCGTGCCCGAAAAAAAGTGAGGACCGAAAACGCTCACACTGGCCACTACAGTTGACGGCCTAAATGACAAGAATTGCTTCGTGCTATGAAAAAAACCCAACACACAAGAAAAACGCTCAAGGGACAAAAACGCACAGGGCGTGTCTTTCTTAATTTTTCTTGCAATTATTTTCAATATGCACCAAAAGGTCCCTTTGTTTTACATTTTCGACTGCAGAAATAATGAAACATGTGCTTTTTGAAAAACTGACTGTGTACTTTGGGACGCCAGTGAATACATACAGCTTTTTTTTATTGAAAACCTATAGTGCCAACTGTTTTATTTTGGAAGGTGGCGGCTGCGTTTACTAAAGGACACCTTAACTACCAACAAAACTTACTGAATACAGTGCATAGCGATGCGGATTTGTTCTTCGAAGGGCAGATATTGAAGCTTTTGAGAAAAGTTATACCTGATTTTTTGTGTCCTTTACTCTAATGATACTTCAGCTAAACGGAGCACTCTTTTACATTTTCATTTGGCCTTTAAACAAAATTGATTGTATATTTTTGTATTCTAGCATGGCCGTGCTATATTTTTGGTACATGAGTATCTTTGTGCCATGGGTACAGTAAGACAAAATCTCGTCATTAGATAAACAAATAGTTAGAGTTGCGTGACTAGCACAAGTAAAATTTTTTTGTGTTTGAATATAATCAAATATGACTAATTAAAATTAGGGGTAACCTAAGATGATTATCTCTAAATGACTTCTTGCTCTGCAGCATATGCATTTCTAAAGAAGAAAACAATGTTGCTTTGTTTGTGGGAAAGAGTGCTTGTGCATCTGTTGCTCATAAGCTGCATGACTGACGCAGTTATGACGCTCTGCAGAAGTGAATTGCGGAAAAAGCAATCCGGCATTGCACTCTGCAGCCAAGTGCGCATGCCACTCACTTGATCAATGTGCAGGGTGTAGCACACGCATGCTTACTGCTGCTCACCTGCCTTGTGTGCTCATTGACTGTGGTCCAGGTAAGGCCTATTCTAGTGGTACCACGCACTATGCCCGAGAACTATTAAGGACCACATGAAGATAAATGAGCACCAGAAATGAAGGGCCACGAGTCATAAATAATTCATAGTTTTTTTAAGACCCACGGGTAGTCATGTCTTACAACATTTTAAAAAACACCATATTTATTCTTTCTAACAATTATCATAAAAAAAAATAAGGGACATTTTATTAGATGCACAACCAATTAAATAGCTTTAATTAAAATAATTATTTTTGTTTTTCATTATACGTTCTTTATTCAAACATGCTAAATGCCCAGTAACTGCTTTTTCATAAACCTTTGAGGGCTTGATTACTTTTTCTTAGACATAATATTTATTGTATCAAACATGAATTATACGATACAGTGGGTGTTACAGGTTTTATTGTTGTTAGGGTGCCATCTTCAGGGATATGTCTGCTGTTTCAAAAATGTGTAAAATTCTTGCTTGTCATGACTTTGCTGCTTGTTTTATTAATGGATTTATAAATGGTTTATTAGTAGATTACTTAATAAAATAAGGTGGGTGTCACAAAAGTATACTTCACATTGTGCTTCAGAAACATACTATGAAGCTTGTTCTTATGTATGTGTTTGCCAACAATTTGCAGAACTATTTGTTTATATAGAGAAATTTGTTTTTTCTGCGTAATACAAAATATAAGCGGTTTCCGTTCACCGAGAATTCACTGCATTAGAATTGACTCTGCTACGTTATAACTCTGTTTTATTAAATACAACTTTTTCTCCGCGTGGGATTCACGATAGGTCTTGTTTTGGCACTGCACAGGCAGACGCCGCATTGAATTCTTTTTTCCCAACTTGACCGTCGCTAATTTTGCATGATCTCAATGGGCGAAAAATGGTGTCCACCCAAGTGCAGTTCTTTATCTGCCAGAGATGTTGTATTTCTGAAGCATTCGATCTTCTCAGAACATCTTAAAGTGTTGAGGCAGGATTTTGCAGCGTTGAGTTGCCTCAATACTGAACTAAATGCATTTCATCTGCACATCGCTGTGACTGTACCATTGGGACAGAGCTTTGGCAGATGGTTCACTTGAGCACTTGCAGAGTGCTGCAGTGAGGATTATGCATGGGGCACATTCCTTGAGCACTCATTGACCGTGATGCCATGTTCACACCTGATCTGACTGTGTTGAATCAGCAAAATCACTCTGTAATGAGGTTTATTGAACCTGGAGAAGTCGCAACGAGGTCGCAACGGAAAAGGACCGCACGTACGACAAGGCTGGCAAAGGCAGCACAGGTTTTCTCACAATCAGAACGTGGGGCTTTTTATCCTCTTCCGAAGGCACATACATGTTGCTACATATGCTCCACTACAATACCCCCGGGGTGAAGCATACACATCTTGAGGACTCAAGGGGCTAGTAGAGCTGTCGACGGTACGGTCTCCCGGCCTCGACGGCGGGGCTTGATGATGTAATTCACTGGCGAGGTGGCATCAATGACACGGTACAGACCGTGGTAAATTTAGAAGAAAGGCCAGGGACGTGCGAGGGTAGCCAAAGCCAAACAAGGGAGCCAGCAGGAAACGTAGGAGCTGGGTGATGAACAGTCATGTTGAGTCTTTTGTCGAACTTGAGCTTCACTTGTCAGAAAACGAGCCAACTGACGGCAGTCTTCGGTGTATCTGGGCTCTTCGGAAATAGGAGAGCACTCAGATACATCCCGGCGGTAAGTAGCGTGGTGTCTCGTGGGTAGGAAGGTTCGTGGCTGTAGAGCAGAAAGAACGGAGAAAAGCCGGAAGTCGATTGTGTCGTGGTGTTGTAAGCGAACGTAACAAAAGGTAGTACAGCGTCTCAGTTAGTGTAATCAGAGGAGGTATACATCCCAAGCATGTTGCCTTGCTTGTTCAGTGTGTGAATGAACTGCT